TATATTTTACCACAATAAAAAAAGACATAGACATACACACCTTCACCCAGCTGCAGTGGCCAAATTTCAAGTACTCAGTACTCATATGGCTAATGGCTATTGCAGATCACAGGCCTAAAATAGAGGATTTTGGAGGTGACATATTTGGTGAGACCATAAGTGTAATTTGGTTTTGACATGTAGCTTAAGAATATCAGCTTCCTTCTTTTAGTCAACAATAAAATAATGGGAAACAGTAAGAGCACCATGTATAGAGTTTGCTTCTGACCAGCAGCACCCAGTCACTCTGAAACTGGGAGCCTCCTGCGGGCAGGGCTGGTGCCTGTATTATTCCGTGGGATGTGAGCAGGTCACGTAACCCCTGAGCATAGGCTTGTTCTTCCTAAGAGGGTCTGGTGTTTTCCAGATGAGATTCCATATCTTCTTATGTTGGAGAGAAGATAAAATACCTAAGTAAGTTCCAGGAAAGCACACAGACGAAACATACCAAGACTGAAATCACAATGATCCAGAAAAGGCTAGTGTTTGGTTATCATTTGCTTCAGCATTCCAGTTTCCCTGATCATTTTTTTTTTTCCTTTTTCTATTTTTGAGACAGGGTCTTGCTTTCTAGCTAGGCTGGAGTAGTCGTGTGATCATAGATCATTGCTGCCTTGAACTCCTGGGCTCAAGCAATCTTCCCTCCCCAGCCTTTCAAGTAGCTGGGACTACAGGTATGTACCACTACGCCCAGCAACTTTATTTTCTGTAGATATGAGATCTCATGTTTCCCAGGCTGGTCTTGAACACCTGGCTTCAAGTGATACTCCCACCAAAGCCTCCCAAAGTCATTAATCATCTTGATGTATTTCCTCTCATTAGCTTGCCATTTTCCAGCAGGATATTCTGTGGTCCAATTTCCCTGTTCTGCTCTCAAATGACTGAAAGGGGGGTGGCATCCTCAGGAGTCACCTCCATGCAGATGGGGCACCGGAGCACAGCTCTGTACCTCCCAGCAGAGGTTGTGGAATGAGGAGGATGTGAGTATCCACCTTTGTCAGTACAGGCTCCGTGAAAGTAAACCATACCACCAAATAAATGGTTTAATTTTATTTCAAAATTGTACAAAATGGCCATAAGCGACTATAAAAAACTTTGTCTTCAGAACATGTGGAAATTCAGAAACAACAAAACAGGTATCATTCACAGTGTAATGGAAAAGCTTTTTCTGAGGCAGGAATTATAACTCTTCCTTCTTTTTCCCTAGTCTTTCATGGTCTCCCTCCCGGAGGGCTCGAATATAATTGGTAAATCCTAATTCCTGTGGGGAAGGGGGAGAAAGAGAGAGAGAAAGGAGCTTTAATCCCTGAGCCGGCTGTGCACTCTCCCTCTACTCTCCACCCACCACCTTTCCAGAGGCTCACTCCTGCGACAGGGAAGAGGTGGGCAGATTTCTGCAAGGTGGAGAGGGTCTGCTTGGCTTCCACGAGGCCTGACAAGTAAGAAAACCCCTCAGCATCTGGAGTCCAGCCTGGCTCTGGGGATAGGATATCTGTGACTCTCCTCCCTTGAACTCTCCTCCAACAATGTCAAGCCTCAGCCAGGCCCAGGGCCTGTGGCCTCTCGGTGCAGTGTTTCAGCTGACTTCTGCGGTTTCTGGGATGCCGCTCAGTGCTGCCCCTCGTTGGTGGAAGTTTCCCTGCCCATCAGCAGAGCCACCCCGGGGCAGACGCCTCTCCCAGACTTACTGTGCGGTCACTATCATACTTTTCTGTGAACTTCCCGTAGTGGTAGTAGTGGAAAGTGGGGTAGCCCTTGATGGCCTCCTGCTGGCACAGGTCTTGGTTCTTGTCTTTGACACAGTTGACAGCAGCACAGGCAATCTAGGGGCAAGGTAAGGAGAGTCGACACAGGGCATCCCCAGGCTGAGGCCTGGACACCACAACAGAGATTGCACATCTAGCTCACGTCACAGGCCCACTCCGATTTTTCTCCGCAGTGGCAGGAAGGAACTGAACCAAGGCAACCCCAGCTCAGAGCTCCTTTGAGACTGATGGTGCTTGTTTTCAATTTCCAAGGCAGATGGGTAAGGTTGGGGGACTAGGCCTGGAGTGCCTTTAGACTGTCCTTGAAAATCAAGAGGATGATGACCATAAAGGAAATGACGACTTGAAAGCATCTGTAAACACCACAGGTTCCGTGGTGCTTTCTGTAAAGGATTCAATCATTTATCAACTAATGTTTCCAGAACATTTGCTTGGAGTGGACAGTGTAGTCAAGGTTAAGAGCAAGAGCTTTCAAGTCAAGTTTCCCAAGTGCATTCTTGGTTTGCCTGGACATTAAGACTTAAAGAAAATGACCCAGCCTCTTGGTGTCTCAATTTTTTCAGCTGTAAAATGAGGATAATAATAGTATCTAGACTATCAGGATATTGTGAAGTCTGAATAAGAGAATTCAAGTGAGGCCAATCAGCACAGGACCCAGCACAGGACTTGTAGTCAGGAAATGTCAGCTGCTATTAGTCACTTCTTCTGACTCCATATACAAGCTCTGTCCCCACTAGGGGCTCAGAGTCTGGGCAAGTGTTGGATAAAGAGACAGCTCCAACATGGTGTGATGTGAGGGATGAGGGAGGTGGTCCAGGTGCCAAGAGAACCCAGGTGAGCGGGGCAAAGGTGCTCTGTATGATTCGCCATCTGAGCCAAGACTGGAATAGGAGGAGACCAGGGGAGCACATCTGGAAACTGGAGGAGTCCTGCGTGACTAAAGTCTTCAGAATGTTTGGCCAGAAAGTGGTTCCCACATTGGTCACTGGTCTCTTCTTGCCCATCTAGCAAATTCCACTGCTGCATAATGTTTCCTTATCATGTGTTGCTCTTTCAAAAGAAGAGAGTACAAAGCAGAAATGGGGAACTTGTTTCCTATTGAGGGTTATACACCACAGAAGCCGGAGAATGGGTCCTCAATGACCATACCCAATACAGAGGTGTTACGGAAGGCAGGGCAGATTCCCGTGAGGGGGAGTCCTCCTGCCAGGCAACACGCACTGAAACCCTGCTGTGTGCCAAGCCTGCTCTAGATGCTGGGGGAACAACGTTGACCTTGACAAAGTCCAGTTATCAAGCATCTGCTGTATAACATTTTAGATAGAGCTCAATGAATGCTTGGAAGAAATTAAAAGAGGGTGATTCAATAAGATAATTTAAAAGTGTTGAATAGCCATGATTCACACAGTTCTTTGGTTGACGGTTATTCACATTCAGACAGAGGCCCCTTTCCAGGTAGGACAGCCCTGCAGGCCCCCATGGCCACATTTACTCATCATGTCCCTCGTGCCCAGGTGAGCTGCAGGACAGCTAGCTGGAGAGAAGAATGAGGTGTGGCCTCCCTCTCCACCGGGTGCCACCCTTATCCCCCTCACCCCCACGCTTCCCTTTTACTCTTCAGATACATAACATTCTATATGGCGAGACTTTTAAAACGGAGTTTACAAACTCGCTGTCTGCAATCTGTATCTGGCTCTCAGTCCCTTTCTATTTGGCCCACACTGAATTTAACAAAAAAAATAAATAAATCTGAATTAACTGCCAACATAGAAATGGAACCAGAAGATTTAATATAACAATTTGGCTTTCCAACTTCTCTTTAAAAGCCAGAAGACTTGACGGCACTTACCCTGCATTCCCATAGGCAACAACTGGCTGGGCGGAGAGGCAGCTGTCCTTCAGGCAGGCTAAACATACCTTCCCCAGTGTCCCCTGGAGCCCAATTCTCTCAGGCCACCAGACTGGCCCCTTCATACTTCTGAGAACCCCAGCCCACCACTTAAGCGCTTTATTATTTAAAAACATGAGGCAGATGCTCCCCCTGGCCAAATTGTGGGATTCCATTTCTTGGGGCAGGTGCTATGGGACCGGGCCCAAGGGACATGGGCATCCATACACTCTCCTTCCTTGCAGCCCCTGGCTGAGGCCCTGTGTCTCCAGCCCAGGCCAAGGGCTGCTGCTCCACTGTGAAAGTCCTGGACGAACATGGCTCTGGGCTGCTGCACTCCCTACATCTGCTTTAAATTATGAATTTAATTTGTATACATGTCCTGGAGCTATTGGAAACATACTGTATGGTTTTATAAATCTACTAAATTAGAAATGCATACTTGTTCTGAATCACCTAAACCAGCTGCCAGAGGCACAGACGGAATACAACTTCTAGCTGCAAAGGCGAATCCATGCGAAGTTTCCACAGAAGAGGAGACAAATGCATGCCTCCCCTAAGGCAGCAGCTTGGACTCTTTGGAAAGAAGACAGTGAAGAAAACTCTTCTCAGCAATCGAAATTTCACCTGTCTAAATGCCCGTACCCTTACACCCAACTCAAGATTTGCACTGATCACCTGCAACACAGAACATCTGTGATTTCTCTATTTGTTCTATGGTGGTTGGCACGAATTCCTGAGGCACACGCTTCTGCTATCCTGCCACATCCCCTAGGACCAGCCCCTGCCACAGCACCTGCTGCTCTCAGCCTCAGAGCATCCTCCCAGCCTCAAGGAGCTGAACATAAGGCCAACAACAGATGGGGGTCTAGAACAAGTACCCTGGCTTCCTTGGCCTTTGAGTGGAACAGCTCTGTGTCACATTTCCTGGTAAAGTCTCCCTTGGGACTGAGCCTTGGTGACCCATGCAGTCATCTGCCCATAAAACACCTGCTTTGGTTCCTCCCTTTTCATGTCTTGCTTCCAGGATCCCCTCTGCAACTTCCTGAGATCGCTTCCCAAAGAAATTCCCTGCACATGAGCCCAGGAACAGGGTCTACTTCTGGGACAACTCAATCTCTGACAATGCCTGTTTGTGTCTCACTCTGCCTCTCTCCAGCTGACAGACTCTGGGCTAGTCATATAATCTCTCTAAGATTCAATCACCTCTTCAGTAAAATGAGCACCTAACAATACCTAGATGAGCAAGCTATTGTGAGGACAATATGACGTAAGCAGAACTCTCAGTAAATATCAAATATGTTACATTGTTCCTTCATCCAGTCAACATTTACACAGGTCTAAGCAGTCATGACTATGGGGAGTTCAAGGAAAAATGAGGTCTCTGTCCTCAGGAAGTTTTGCTCAGAATAGGCAGTAGCCTCATAAACAGGAGGACCTACATGTCATGGCTGGATTCCAGTAGTGATGTGAGCCCATCACAGAGAAGGGGCCCCTGCTGCCTCCCTCAAGGGGTGACCTTCACACTTAGCCCCACCCCCAGGCTGTGGACCCCTTGACATGCAGTGAAAGGTGAGCCCCCCCACCCACCAAGGTCCTGTCTGCCTTGCCCCTTCAATAACACCATCTGTTCCAACACTAACACTTTGCAGTCCTTTTCCCACCAGCGTGCCAACCGATAAAGTCCCCAAGTAAGCTCCCGGGAGGGGGTGGAAGCTCCCCAGCTAAAATATGAGCTGCCACACACAGCTTTATTGATTCAGTAAAATAAATCTCTGCAGGAGCTAATATTGACTCTGGCTATGAAAATGGAAGTGAACAACCAACTGCATATTGATTGGGAAAGGAACAGGGAATGGCTTCTGGGTAGAAAAAACCCCCACAATTCCAGCTAAGAAGTGGCAGCATGGGGGGTTAGGAGACCCAGTTATGGCTGTCAGTGACCTGCTGGGCATTCCTGGGCAAAGGACACAGCTCCTCTCTAGGCCTGGGTCCCTCACCAGTAAAGGGAGAGGGGCCAGGGGCCAGCACAAGAGCTAGCTATTAAAAACCACACATTTCCAGCACCATCCTCCAGAGACTCTGATCTTATAGTTGTAGGATGGGACCCAGTAGTCACTGTGCCATGCCTGGAGCACAGAGTGGGCACCAGTAAGTTCAGTCCCCCAGGCCAGATGGCTGGCTTCCCTGATGTCATGAATGTAACCTCAGGAATAGCAGGCAGGCCAGCTGCCTCAGACAGAGTTCAAAATGCATTCCTAAAAGCAAGTGAGGGTGATCCTTGGCTTGGAATAAAGGAAGCCGAAAGGAGAGACAAAGGGAATAAGAGAGGGATTGAACTCAGGAAAAGGCCACACCACCACTGGTCCAAGACAATCAAGCAAAGGTGTGTCAGTGTCTAAGGGGAGGGGGGCACCAAGGAAATGGGGCCCCCGTGTAGCAGTGGAGGGGGAACGGGAAGAGGAGAGGTGGGGTCTTAGCTGCTTACTGGAGGCCTGGCAAACCTGGCGTCACCCGCACTGATGCAGGTCAGGCCACAGGACAGCCTCAGCAGCGGTCTAGTGGGCAGAGGCACCATGTCAATAGGGCCGCCCCTCCAGGGTTTCCCCAGCCTTCCAGGTGCCTCAGCTGGACCATGTTCCCTGACACCACACTTTCCAGTTTGACTGGGAGGGCAATGTCTCAGGGCCCTCACAGATCTCCTAGGCCTGTGGAGACCTGAGGGGCTGGTGGGACAGGGAGATAGCACACCTCAGCCTTTCTCCTGCTGTCCAGAGCACCCAGCATTCTGGGTGGGGCGTGATGGATGTCGATGTGGAGTGACAGCTATTCCAGTCCCGTGGACTGGCAACCCAGGCCATGCTGGATATCCTGAGACCCCCCACAGTGGGAGCAACCACCCTGTGCTGTGCCCAAGTGGGTGTGGACGATGAGGAACATGGACACGGGTAAGAAGCCCCTGCTGCCACACCCTTCTCAGTCCAGGGAAAGGGGCAGGCAGAGGAGAAAACTCTTCTGGTCCTTGTATTCCCTTCTTGTTGGGGTGAGGGGTGCCTCAAAGCCAGGGCTTATCGGTAACAATGGGACTCCCTGGCTCTGGGTCTAAGTGGGAATCAGGTCCCCAGTTCATCCCCACTCTACCTACATGGGCCTGTCCCCAGCTGGCTTCCTTTGACTTTATGTCCATGTAACGTTCCCCATCTCTGCCACTCTCTCTGGGACCGTTAAGGTGATCTTAGTACCTGTATCTCTGCTCCCACAAGGCCTGGATGGTACCTTCAGGCCTGACCTCCTGTTGGCCTTGATCAAAACTACAAGCCCGGCCCGCCCAGCCCTAGAATGGTCATCTGTCTGTGCTCATGAGTGCTGCTCCACTGACACCAGCTGCCCTTCCCGGCCTTGGCTGAACTCCATCTAGGCCTGCTTGGCCTGTTTATCATCTAGGACTCTCTGCTCAGCTTATGCCTGGCCTTGGTTCCTTCTAGACTACAATGGCCCCACCTGGGACTCCACCCAGGAAAGTAAGGCACCCCCGCATGTGACTCTGGGTCTGGGTATGTGTGAAAATGCGGGTCCTACATGGCTGCCAGCTGCTAGGGCCTGTTGGGCCAGAGGTTCCCACGACTGAGTCTGAGGGTTGAGAGGAATCTTCCCAGCACTCTGCACCAGCACTCTGCCTGGCACAGAATTCGAGAAGGGAACTGGAAGCCTGGCAGTCAATTGCACTTCCCGGAATTCAGGGGTATTTCCCTGCCCCACAAGCCCTCTCCCTACAGCAGCCCCCGCTGCACCAGCTGCCTGGGGGATGCGCCAGGGGATGCACCTGGCGGCCTGCACTCTAATCCAATCTGCAGCTCCAGCTTGTTAATTTTATGCTTCACCAGTCAGCATCTGCAGGAGCCTTTCACTTAGGCAGGGTGAGGCTCCGCTGACATAGCCTTGCTCTCCTCCACCGTGGAATCCTCCAGTTGACTTTTGTTGGATTTTTAAACTGTAGTTTTAATTATATAAGTAATGCATCATGACAATCCTACGGTAAAAAGGTTCAAGCACTAAAAAAGTAAACAGATGACCCTTTTAACCATCCCTCTCCTCCAAGTAAGTACTGGAACAGTTCAGCATATCCCTTTTAGTCGATTTTGCAGCATAAATCCAGCCTGCCCCATCTTCCTTATGAAGAGAATGCCCTGGTTCCCTAGGAATTCCCTGCTTATAGGTCTTAGCTGACCTGCCCCTGTTTAGGGAACGGACCTGAATGACAAGGAGGCATGTGTAGGAATTAGCTGGAGGCAGATCAGGAGATAAAGAGGGCTCTCCTTACCTTTCGGTCATCTTTGAAGACAGCAGCAGCAGCAGTGAAGTGCGGAATGACTTTCTTACAGTGTGGACACCCTGTGTGAGGGGGAAGAGAGCACACGGAACAGTGAGGATGTGCAGGCAGGCTGCAGGGCCAGGGGCCCTTTCCGAAAGCTCCAGAGAGGCCTCTCCAGGAGCTCTGCCCCAGCCAGCCATACTGTCAGGGTCCTTTTGTCAGCCTTGCCACTCTAACCAGCTCCCAGCCATGTCTGATCTCTTGGTAGTGGGGATTGGTAGGAGTCCCTGTCACAAGCATCATATGCTCCTGCCCAGGCTCGCGGGTGATGGTCACTGGAGTCTAGTTCTGCTCCTTCCACAGAGGATGAGGAAGAGCCTGATCTTGGGTGCAGAGGGAGCTCTGAGCTCTGGGCTTAAGGAGGAAGACATGGGATTCTCAGAGCCTGCCATAATCTTCTCTTGCTCTAGGGACAATGGCAAATCTCTCCATTTCCTGACTGAGAGGAAATGGCATCGGGAAACGTAGGGTGGGGGGATTTAGGGGCACCTATTCTATACCCACTGCTCACACTTTGCCGCTAACTTCCACGTTCCTAGCAATCCCACCCAGCCCAGACTGTGAGCAGCCAAACCAGGCACTGGTCCCCAACTCTCCATCTACCATATGCTCTACAATAACCAGAACCTCAAAGCCAGGAACAGGAGGGCCACAGTCGGGGTAAGAGGGAGAGAAGCTACAGGAAGTCACCAGACAGTCCTCAGGTCCCCTGACGCTCTCTGTCCCAGGGAGAAGGCTTGTCAGAGTGGCCTAAGGCCTTTGAATTATACTGGGACCCCTATCTCCACCATCTGTCTCTTGTTCTGGGCATCACCCTGAGCCCCCAGCTCTGACCTCAGTGTCTCAGGAGCAGGGTAGGGACCTCTGTGGAGGCCGCTTTCTCCTCCTGTCCTGGTGAGCCCAGGAAGCTGCAGGCTGCTCCAGCCCTTCCCTCAGCACTAACAGGTCAGAACCCAAACTCCCCTCCTCTCTCAGCTCTGTCCCAGTCACTGGTGAACAGAACTGCCTAGCGGGTAGATGGGCTCTGAGGGAGGGGTTTCCCTGAGCATGGGGAGGCTCCAGCCCACACCTCTTATGTCAGCCGGCCTCTCTCTGCCTTAGGAAGGCAGAGATGCCATGGTGGGAATAGCAACGACTCTGCTCATCTACTTTCTCCTTTTTAAAATAAGATAATAATGACTGGCATTTCAAAGGGTTTTGTGAAACCAAATTAAGGCTAAGCTACAAGTTTAATCTGAATTTAGTCTTTGAGTCAGTCCTGAGATGGGCAGGACCACCCACATGGCCCGGCCGGCAGAGTGACCAGCTGGCCCAGAGCATTGTGGGGGTTATGGGGGATGGGGATGTAGAGAGATTTGCCAAATCTCATGCAGAAGGAGCAGAAGAGACATGGGCCGGTGACGGGTTACTTCAGAAATGAGGCAAGCACAGCTTAGCAATGTGCCTAGCACAGCCTAGCTCACGGCAGAGACTGGATGATCTTTTAATAACCTCAAATGGCAATTACAAGTAACACAATTTGATAGAAAGAAAAATAGCTCAAATTCATGAAAGTGTCACACTGTAAAGGGATGGTGTTATAAAATTTTCAAAACACTTAAAGAGCGCAAACTACTGGTTAACAAGGTACGTCTCAGACAGATCCCGCAGACAGCTGCAGGCCCCTTGTGTATGGCGTATGCCCGTAACAGCATTAGGCTGGCTGAAAACAACCACCCCCTTCCTCAAAATCTGACTTCACTATTACTTTTTCCTTTTTAACCTCTTTGTCCATTGAAAGTATAAAAGTAACTGTCAGCCTAGTGGAAATTCCTGTTACCATCAATTTAAAATATCTAGGCCTCAGATCAATGGCCTTCTGTTGCATCTAATTTTCTCATTATCCAAAAGAAAGAGCAGGGCCAATGAATAATGGGGGGAGGGCTGTTTCAGAAAGTGCATGAAGATGCTTCCAAGAGGTGTCAGGAGGGCCAGATGTGCATGATTTTTTTAAATGTGGGCTTTAAAAAAAAGAAAAAAAAAAAAAAAAGGCACTGCCTCTGTGCAGCAGAAAAACCAAAGAAACCTCCCAGGGAAAGCCGAACAAAGACTGAGGGCAGGCTGGACAATGGCAGCTCTATAGACTCCACCAAGCCGGCCTGAGAAGGGCAGTCCCCATGACCAGACCATTCAGCGTAAAAGGAGCAATGAAAGAGCAGGAGGAAGAGCTGTGCAGAAGCTGGGGAGACAGGATGTGGGGGCAGACATGGTGGGGAAGGTAAGGTGTTGGGGTGAGGCAGGACTGTGTGGGCAGGCTGCTTTCACGTTAGACCTTTGTCAGGTATTTGACTTTACTATTTGACATTTCTGTAGTGTTCAGATCCTTCGTATATAAAAAGTGTATTGTATATGCTATATTTACATATTAAATATTATATATTATTATTATTTTAAAAACCAAAAGATAAATCTTTTTTGTCCTTGGAGAGTCTTCCCCCTGTAACCCGCTAATGAAGATGTATGTCCCTGGGGCAAGATTTAGGGACAGAAAAATGCAGTAAGAAAGATGAAGAAACTCTAAGGACCAAGCCCTCTGCCAGAGGTTGAGTCACTCAGTGACCCTGCCCTGGATGGAATGTATTTAGAGTTTTGTCAGGGTAGACAGTGAGCCCCTCAAGGCCTGGCAGGGACAAGTTTCCCTCCCTTATACCCTGGGTCCAGGACAGTGCACAGCACAGAGCTGATAACTGATGGATAGATGGAAGACAGGCAGGAAGGCAGGAAGGGAGGAAGGGAGGCAGGCAGGCAGGCAGGCAAGCAGGAAGGAAGGAAGGAAGGAGTTGTAGATCTTTGGCAGCCCAAAAGGGTAAGAGTCTATCCCAGATTCCCTGGGGATTCAAGCACCTGTCTGCTCTAGCAGCCAGGGTCAGGGGTGGCAGGGGTCTTATGTCTGCTATGAAGGCCTCTCAATCAGGAAGGAGCTGAAGAGAGGCAGGGGAGACACTGTGGCTCTGGTCTAGAGATCTGGGGGAGAAAAGCAGCATCTCTGGGGGAAAGTATTTAGTCTGGACTTTGTAAAGTTCACCCCAGGGCTGGTCAAGGGCTCCCACTTCTGCAGCCAAGTTCTCACTCGCCGCTGAAAAAACTCTTACTCTCTGGACTGGACTGTGCCTGTGACAGAGAGAGCCACCCAGGCTGCGGCAGGGGCCTGCCACTAACTTGCCCCATGGCCTTGGGCAAGGCTCAGTCTTCCACCCACCAAAGCCAGAAGGAAGATGTCAGCTCCCAAAAATCTTTTAAGTTTCTGGGCACACTCTACAGACAGAAAGGACAGCAGGAAACTCTCTAAGGGACTGGAAGAGGACAAGCCCCACTCTGAGAGGGAAAGGCAGAAAGAGAGGGGCAGGGAGGCTGCCTCAGGGAGGGGGCTAAGGCTGTGGTGGCCCCTTTCAGACCCTGAGAAAGCAGAGACACAGATTGTAATCTGTGTCTTAAAGGTGCGGGCAGGGAGAGCCAACAGGAGGGCCAGCTACAACTGAGTAGGTTTATGGCTAGATGGAGCTGCCTGGCTTCTCTGCAGACCACGGCTTTTATTATCCTCACTCCATTAAGCTGAGCCGTAACCTGGGAGAGAGAGAGAAGGGCAGCAGAGAGTGGGAAATTCTAAGAACCTTTCGTTGTAAGTATCAATTAACAACTTCAAAATGGGAATACACAGAAACCCGAGGTCACAGACGCCAATGTCAGCAGACAAGTCACTTCCTTAGCTTAAGCTCTGATTAAAAAGAGAACCACACAGGAGCTCCAGAGCAAATGTGGGAGAGGGGGTTCCAAGGTGCTGAAGATAAGTCAGTTTCTGGAGGAGGAAGAGGGGGCAGAGGCAGCTGAGGGGTGGGAAGTGTGCAGGTAGGGGACAGGTGCGTGGAGAAACCCAGGGACAAGAGGGCACCAGCACAGAGGCAGAGGACTTTAGGACAGAAACAAGAAAGGCTGCCCCAAAGGAATGAGAGCCCGACACGGCTGACAAAAGAAGGCCCTGGATTTGAAGGACCCCTCAGCTTAGAAAAACTGGAGAGCCTGGTTCAGAGTGGAGATGACCCCAGGATCAATCAGCGGCTGCCCTGGACCCTGGGGAGGCTGTGAGGGTCTTCTTGTTTGGTGGGGCCAAACCCCTCTTACTTTGCCCCTCCATGAGAACCCGAGCTACTTACAAGGGGCGTAGAACATGACCAAGGTGTGTTTCTTCTTCTTCAGGGTCTCCCGGAAGTTGTCCCCCACCAGGTGCAACACACTTGTCTGCTGCTCTTCCCATGTGGGCTCTGGGGGTGGGGGAGCCTCAGGGCTGCAAGAAGCCAAGGGACAGGGGAAACAGCCATGAGGACAGATTTTGACGGGCAAGGAAATCCATCCACAATGTCCCAACCACTCAGGGGAACAGGCATGAAGAAACTACTACATTCCTTCTGAAATTTCATTTTAAAACTGAAGTTTAATCACAAACAAATCTGTACCAGCAGCAAAGACATTCCCTGATTCCCTCTGAGGAGCCCAGTAGGGAGTCATTTTGTAAAATGTGGAAGACTTGACCCCATTTTAGGGAGGGCAGTGCCCCTAGTTGTGGGCCACGATCTCCTTGACAAGGGCATAGAGCCACCTCCACCTGGGCTCCCGGGCCCCTCCTTCCTGCACCCTCTAGGACCCTACATGATTGTTCATTATCTTCTGCTTCTCAGCTTTTTTATGGTGGAAAGCATGCACCAAGGAGTGAGGCAGGTCTGGGTTCAAATCCAAGTGAATTACCAGCTGTGCAACCTTAGGTAAGTTACTAAACCCCTCTGAACCTCTATTTTCTTTTCTGTTAAATGAGGATGATGGGATCTTTACAAAGAGCAGAGAAGTATGTAAAGCATCTACTCAGTCAAGGAACTGTATTTACTGAGAGCCTAGATCCTCTAATAAATGCCAGTCATTGGATAAATGTTACTGTTTCTCCATCCCAGCATCCCAGAGCCATCTGCTGTTCACACTCCATCTGAAGGATCTCCTGTAAGTGCCTGGAAGAACTGCCATATGTTCCTGGACAGGGACCTTAACCTCTCTGAACGTAAGTTTCTTCACCAATGAAATATGAACAAAAACTCTAGCCTCAGTAGGACTTGAGGATAAAATGGGGCAAGAGATAGGAGAGCATTCTGCAAAGGCTGGCTGCTGGGATCACTTATGCATTGACACTGTCAGTCACAAGAAGGCCACAGTCAGTCATAAAAATAGCTTCAACTTTTTTTTTTTTTTAAAGACAAGGTCTCACTGTTGCTGAGGCTGGAGTACAATGGCGCCATTCCAGCTCACTGCAGCCTCGACCTCGTGGGCTCAAGCAATCCTCCCACCTCAGACTCCCGAAGTGCTGGGACTATAAGCACGCACCACCATGTCCAGGTAATTTTTTTTATTTTTAGTAGAGATGAGGTCTCACTATGTTGCCCAAGCTGGTCTTGAACTCCTGAACTCAAGAGATACTCCTGCCTCTACTTCCCAAAGTGCTAGGATTACAGGCATGAGACACCGTGCCCAGCCAACTTCAACTTTTTGAGTACTTCTACATCACATCCTATGCTGAGCACTTTTCACAAGAGTCTCATTTAATTCCCAAGACAAGTCTATGGGGAAATTACTATCTTCATCTTACAGATGGGAAGCTGGGGCATACAGGGGTCAAGGGAATGGCTCAGGGTCATGATCTGAGCCCAGGTCTCTCAGACTCTAAAGCCCATGCTCTTTGACCTCAAAGCATTTTAAAAAGTACTTAAACCTGAAAGCACTTGGCCTGAGTGCTTTTCAGGCTCTCAGTGGCAGTGCTGGCACACAGAAAGGACAGAAGCCCCTCATGCCTGCTGTTTGTGTCCAAGAATCTGGAGCACTGATTAGTGATGACTAACACTCTGGATTCCCTCAGCTCTCTAACCACAAGTCCAAGCATCACAGGGACCTGGCCAGATTCCTCGCCCTGCCCCATCCCTTCCAGTGAACCAGCCCTGGCACCAGAGCAAGGCTGGAAAAGTGGGCCTGAGTAAGCCACTTGCCTCAGACACCAGAAGACCTAGAGGGATGAGCACCTTGTCCCTTTCAGAGGCAGAACATCGTTCCCCTCTGGTCTCTGAGACAAATGCCTGGCTACTCTCCAAATCCTCCCAGTGGACAAGCAGGACTAAGTGGGAGAAACTGAGGCCAGGATCTCTCCCGCCCACTCACCTCTTGCCAGAGGCCTCCCCGAACATAGGGGCAACTTTGCACCAGTTCCATGAGCTGGTGTTTCTCAAAACACCATGGCTGAGGGTCCCATTCACACCTCCTGAATCAAAGAGTCTCAGAGTCTGCGCTTTAAATAAGCACCTCATATCTGACCAATGTCCTAACAAAGTAGCTCAGACCATATAGGTTCAACTGTGTCCCCTCTAATTCATATGTTGAAGTCCTAACCCACATTATCTCCGAATGTGACTATATCTAGAGATAAATTATCCCTTTAAAGGGATAATTCAGCTAAGATGAGGTCATTAGGGCGGGCTCTCATCCAACATGACTGGTGTCCTTATAAAAAGAGCAGACACATATAGAGGGGTAGTCATGGGAAGTCACAGACAGAAGGTGGCTAGGGAGAGGGGGCTCAGAAGAAATCAGCCCTACCAACATCTTGATCTCGGATTTCTAGCCTCCAAAATTGTAAGAAAATAGGCTGCACACAGTGGCTCATGCCTGTAATCCTAGCACTTGGGGAGGCCAAGACAGGTGGATCAAGACACTTGAGCTCAGGAGTTCAAGACCAGCCTGGCCAACATGGTGAAACCCTGTCTCTACTAAAAATACAAAAACTTAGCCAGGCATGGTGGCTGGCACCTGGCAATCTCAGCTACCTGGGAGGCTGAGGCAGGAGAATCGCTTGAACCCGGGAGGCAGAGGTTGCAGTGGGTCCAGATCACACCACTGCACTCTAGCCTGGGCAACAGAGTGAGACTGTCTCAAAACAAAACAAAACTATAAGAAAATAAACTTTTGTTGTTAAGCCACCTGGTCTGTTACTTTGTTATGGCAACATTAGCAAACTAACACACAGGCTGAGGGGGCTCTTCAAAATCTTTATCCTCAGCAGCACACTACCAGAGGCCCAGGCAACCACTAGCAAACCTGGATGAAATGGGTCCAGCTCTGGCTATGAAGAGCTGTGTCTCCTTCATGTGTTCCAAGGGGATGGAATAAAATGCAGACAATGAGACCCGGGGCTAAGGAGACTGAGACAGAGTAAAGGCAACACACGGTTTAGTACACCGATGAAGTGGCGTCCAGGACTACCAGTGACCCACTGATCCGAACACATGATCAGCACATGAGGGGTGGCTTTAGGGTTGAGGAAGTCGGATCTGTCTTGGCGCCTGTGGGCCTGAGCCCAGGACACTGGGCCATAACGTCTACCTCACCTCCTCAAGGTGGTTTCCAGGGGCCGTCAGCCAGCAGTTAGAATATGCTATTGAGATTGCAACACGTACTTTTGCATCCACTCCAGAAACTTCTTCTTTGTCCTGAGCACTGGCACTTCGTGTTTCTCTCCATGCTTAAAATACTTCAATGTAGGAAACTCTGAGATGTGGAATCTTTCTGCCAGGGCCTTGTTGATGGTGGCATCGACAGCTGCAAGGACACCAGAGCTCTGGGATGGGGGAAAGGCCAACCATGCATTACAGCCTCAGACACAGTGCTGGTGGAATACAGGAGCCCAGATGCTGCCCCCCAAACCCATCCTGGACCTGCCGGAATGTAACTGGGTGGCTAGTCTGGTGGGCTCCTATATCCCAGGGAACAACTGAACATTGGCATGCCCATCATTTATCATTTATGGGCTGAGATGAGGCTTTCAAATCTGCCCCACCAGCCACGTTGAATAGATTAGCACCTGTTCCCATTAGCCAGGGTCCCAGAGAAAAGAGGGAGCAGGCAGAGGTCACCTGATGGGCATGGGAACATGGTTCAATAGTCCCTCTGCACCCCTCTAAGATCTCATCTGTCTAACATGTTCTTCTTGGGCACAGAGAGGTACTGCTGGCCTGCAGGGACCAGGGGACCTGTGGCAGGGCTTGCAGGGGAGAGTCATAATGATTCCACCTGTCAGTGATTCTTTCAAAGAGAACAGTGAGGGGGAAGGAAAGGAAGCTTACATCCGCTTCTCCATGGAGGGCTTCTGCTGCCTTCTCAAACTCCGGCTTCATTTTCTTACAGTGGCCACACCCTGTGGGGAGAGATGAAGAGAAACCACTCTTATAGCACAGAGGCCCTGGGGATGCTCCCCTGTGCCACCTCTGTAAGGCAGCTCAGTTCCGTTCCCAGATACTGGCGGTACCTGGGAGAAAAGCAGCAGCAGCACCAGCTCAAAGAAAAGAAATCTTTGGCTTAATCTCCTGGAAATGGATTGGGGTAGGGTGAAGGTACCTCAGACACAATAATAAAACAAGTGCGTAAACAATATGGGCAACATGTATGTAGCCCTGGTGTGCCAGGTACTGACCAGTGCTTTACAGCCTCATAACAGCCCCACAAAGCAGGAACTGACATTATCTCCATTCCACAGATTAGACAGTTGAGGCACCAAGAGGGCAGGTGACTGCCATGGGTCACAGAGCTGGGCTGAAAACTTAAGCAATCTGTGGGAAGCCACAGCTGCAGGCAGCGTGTGGCAACACGCTGCGATCACCATCATCCTCCTCTCTGGATAGAAGGCAGTCTGAGGCCTTGAGCTGGGAATAAAAGTTCACAGAGGCAAAAGTATGGAAGATAATTACATTCCAATTGTCCCCATAAGACGTGATGGGATTTTCCTCGGATAGAAACTATTCTGTCCTTTTCTCACAGCCACATGAACACTGTAAGATGTCACAAATAATAAAATTTGATGCATTAAAAAGAAAATAAGCACTTTGTGTAGATGACAGACCTCGACATTTGTACATTGTTTTCATTTTAATAGAAAGAGTACTTTCTGGCCCGTGATACTGGAGGGGCTGGGAGGTGAGGGGTCTGCAGACTGGCTCAGGCTGGAGGCTGCTCAGAAGGTGAGCCTGGCTGTGTATTAACCAGGTTCAGTGGATGACAGGTCGTGACTCAACCTTCTCAGGGCGTGCTACTGTGTGGGAGCTGAGAACGCTGTAATTCTACTGATTGTAAGAAAAAGGAAAGACAAGAAGAAAGGAAGAGAGAAAGTCAAACAGTATAATCAGAGGAGACCTCCCGCTGAGCTCTGGAATCGGCTTTCCTGCCTCCAGCTGAGCACCCAGCCAGGATGAAAGCTCCTGCCTCCTCCTCCAGGGCCATTCCTGCAGAACTCAGCTCCGGGTGAGACATGAACCTGTCTCATTCTTAATCTCTCCATCCCACTCTTGCCTGTACCTGCTTCCTCCACTCATTCTCACCCTGTCCCCGCAAGGGACAAGGGACCCTGGAGGGACTACTCCCTACTTAACTGATAACAGAAAACTGAACTGATCATTGAGCTCCTGGGCAGTGTTGTCAAGCTCCTCCTCTGGACAGAGTGCTGGGGACATGACTTGTTCAAGGGCACTGACCCTAATGGAATGCAGCCCAGGGAGTGGCTACAATTCTCAGCCAATAAGCTGGTCCTTCCCAAGTGCATCCAAGGAAGAGGGACACTGCTAACCCCCAACTCGCAGGTTCCACAATAGGAGGAGGAACTGCTGGGGTATACAGGCACCCCTGCTGCCATTATACAGGGAGCTCCCTACTCCTGTTGGGCTATGATGCAGAAGAGAGGGTAGAAAAGGTATCAGCCCTTAGAATCTTCCAGCATAATGACAGAGAGGACCATGGTCTTTGGTCCAGAGGAGAATAGAGTGGCACACACAATGCCTTTAAGGGATGAACCAGAGAAAGAGCACTCCTCACCTGCCCCAGCCGCCTTAGGGGAGCCGCAGCTGCTTGTAGCCCTACTACATCTTGTACTCGCACTACACACTCATCATGCTGGGCTCCAGGTACCAGACATTGACTCTCTAAAGGTGGGGCCTGAGGGTTTTTTTTTAACCTTGTACCTCCCCATGAAGCAAAAGGATCACCATTTAATAGATACGCGATAAATATTTACTGGTCAGCAATGAAGAGACCTAATTAAATAGTGAGTAGAAAACTCCTGGGGTGACCAGAAGCTTGAGAAGACCTCTGGAGAACACATGGGGGCAAGTTAGAGACAGAGGACAGAGGGTCCAGTCAGGAGGGCAGGGGCAGCCTCAGAGAAACAAGAATGTCCCAATGCTCAATTCAGCAGCGCAGAATCCCGCTGCCAGGGCTGAGCAAGGTACACTGTCTCAAAAGGCACACTGCCCTGCTCCTCAAGGCTCCTCTGGGACTGCTGAGTTTGGCCCTGCAGAGGCTGCCCTTGGGCTGGGCAGGGCAGCCCTGCTGTTCCTGCCCTGGTTCTCCACAGCAGACGCTCTTCATGTCCCCTGCAGTTAGACATTGTGGAGATCATGATCAAAGCAGTAAACCCTTTTCCAGAAAAATGCACCCAGGGTAGGATGATGTTGGGAGCTCACGGCCTGACTGGAACCCACTTGGGATCCCTCCATCATGAGCTGTAGAGGTATCAGGGTCATCGTTACTTTGAATTACAAGAATATCACTTTCCAGAAATGAACGTTTAGCATCATCACAAGCCATGTGTCGCCTAAATAATCCAGTTACAGAAGGGCTGTTTTGGTAAGCTGGCCGTTTGTTTTTCCCACAGAAACAATTTTACACACCAATTACACACAGATTCCCAGGGGCAACCACAAAAGCCCATTTAATAGGCTACACCTGAAATATAAAAGCATGCAGTGCTATTTGTATTTCCCTGAGCCTGCTCCCATTGAGACATGTGCAGCCTGCGATCCAGTGGGGAACAGCAGACAGGCCCCTCCTTCTAGGCAGCGGGCCCCACCTCAGCAGTGAGAGGAGGAACTCCAAGAGGGACCAGGGAGAGCTGGGGCAGGAGTCTGTGCCTCCTGGGCACTGATGTTCTTGAGACTGTCACAAAAGCCACTCCTCCCCTTCCCCACACTGATGCATATACTCCACATGTATGTATAATCCCAGAGGGGTCCTGGACTCTGTGAACTTGCTCACAGACTGGGGTTAGGAACCCAGGACAGAGGCCACTGGACTCCAAACCAATCACTTTCCTATGGGAGGGCGAGTGGACAAACACGGAGAGCTGACACACAGGGACCCAGGTTCAGATGTCCTTCTACACTGGCCCACGTGCTCGGAGAAAATGGAATACTCTGAGGAGGCTTCTGCTGACTTAATATGAGGTATATTAAGATTAAAAATTATTTTTTGTTTCTCACTAAAATAGAGTGGAGTAAACCATCCTTTGGGGCTATGATCAGGATGAAAAAGTTCTACAGCTCTTAAAGCTATCTCCCTGTCCCCAGGTACCTCCAGGTTGCTGCTCCCTGCACCTGTCTGAGGTGAGCCAACCATTCTCTGCTCTCAGGCTGACCTCCCCTGACCAGGGCAGAGCAAGGGAGCTCACCCTGCTTAAACAGACTGCAGGAGAAGGAAGCTCAGAGTCACTCTTGCATCTGTGGGTCCATCACCCGAGAGTTCAGACTGCTCTGGAGAGATGTGAGTGCTCCCTGCAAAGTCCTCAAAGCTCCACTGCCTTGAGACAGACTAACTCAGCCCAGCAGTACATAGTGGAGAACACACAGGGAGGCCTCAGGAAATGCAAGCGTGAGGCTCTGGGTGGCCTCCATGGGAGGTGGGAGAGGTAGGAAAGAGAGGCTCCCTTGAACACTCTCCCCACACCCTCCATGATATGGATGGTGCTGTCAGGCCAGCTGCTTGCAGGGCCCATGGTCAAGGTGGACAGTGGGACTGGAGTAGGAATCGGGGAGGGGAGACAATGAAAAGCCAGCCATTGTCACTCACTGAGAATCACTCTTTCTTTCTAAAGTGACCCAGTGGATGTGACAGGACTCCTGAAGATGGGAATTTACCATGCGCTGGTAGGGAGGTCTACCTCATCCTTTTATCAGGCTCCAGGCCTTTGATGCCACTACCCTGCTAGGGTGGCAAGTGGGTTCCATTCCACTGGCCAGCTTCCACCAGCAGTGGGCCTGGGACAGAGCTGAGACTGAGAACTGGCTCAATGGGAAGAGGAGCCATGACCACCTTGCAACATCTGTCACAGACATGGGAAGCCAGCTGGGGTCAATACCAGGAGACCTCCAGATTCTGCAGCTTACCCATGTGGCTGTCTCCTGGACTTCAGCCTCAGCTCCCAGAATCCCCTACCTCTATAAGGAAAGCACTCACTATCTGTGCCAGGGTTCCATACACTCTATCGTGACAGCCCCACCAGACACATGACACAGTGCAATAGGTCCGTTTTACAGTGCCAGAAATTGTGGCTCTGGAAGATGACGTGATAAATCCCCCAGGGCCATCACCACCTGCCCCCTCTTCCTCCCAGCCTCTGCCCTTATGGATAGGACCTCTCCACAGGCAGCATCCACCCTGGACAACCCCTTGCAATCCCACCTTTGTTCTAGCCCCTGCTTTGAGTCTTCCCAGTTCACTGCAGCCCCATCAAATGATCTGCTTCTCTTCTAATTACAAAATACTTCTTATTCAGATATTTGTATGGCATTTAATGCTGTGTTGCTTTGTGACCGTGATACTGCTGTCTTCTGATATTTAAGGGCAGCCGCAGTATCTTTTCAAAACATCAATCACATAAAATTCCTTTGCTGAAAACTTTCCAGTGGCTTCCCATCACAGGTAGATTCAAACCCAAACTTGGCTACAAACCCCACACAATTCATGGCTGCAAACCCCACACAATCTGAGTTCTGCATACCTTCAACTTCAACTCAGGTCACTTCTACTGCAGCTTCTGGTTCTCCTTCTCTTCTCCAATCACACCAAGCTAATTTCTACTCCAGCACCCTGGAACATGTTCTTTCCCTTACATGGAGACCTACAGAATCTGGAGGTCTCCTGGTATTGACCCCAGCTGGCTTCCCATGTCTCTGACAGACGTTGCAAGGTGGTCACAGCTCCTCTTCCCAGTGAGCCAGTTCTGGTAGCCAGGTCTATGTGCGGCTCACCCCCTTTCTATCAGCCACTTAGGCTTCTGCTCAAATTTCACCTTCTAGGAGACCCTCCCTGACCACCTATCTCAAAGGTGCCTCATGCCATCATGCCCTCACCCAATATCCTGTTTTGCTTTCT